GTTTCCAAAGAGCTTGTAGTCTGCCCTGTATATTGGGTCTGACCATTGTTATCCCAAGCCTTCAGGTAAATATATTGGTTTTGCAAAATATTAATAATATGAAAATTAGTATAAATACATTTTGTAATTTGTGAATATTATTTAACTTTGAAATATTATTAAGTACTTGTAATTTAATTTGCATTATAAGTTTTAAATATAGCAAAAAATTTTGAATATAGAAATATAATTTAAATGCCTTGTAGATTGTATCACTGTCAATTTTTTTAATCTATCTGTATTTTAAATTATTTATATATTGTGAGCTTACTATAATTTAATTTATATTCTATAAGATTTTTAAATAAATTGGCACAATAAACTACAGTATTAGAAAATTAACAATTAGCTTTTAAAAATCAAACTTATTTTTCTTAAAACAAGTTAGATAGTTCACTTGCTATTTACCATCATCAACTTTTTCATATTCTATCCAACCAAGTTACTAAATATACAGAGTCAAATTCTCTTGGATAATTTATTTAATAAAATCCAACTAATTATATTCTCATATTCAAAGGTTATAAAATTAATATTTTTATTTCTACTTGTTAATCCTTGAACAGTTATATCAGGAGCATGTCAAACATCATGTTACAAATATGTTGTCCTTATTACAATGTGTATATTTGCCGTTCTTTATCAACCCAAAACCAAATTTCATATTGAGTTTGGGGTTGGGTTTGGTATCATGAGTTTAGTTTCAGTTCAGGTTTGGAAATTATATTGTTTGACACAAATATATATACAGTATATTTTATTTAGGTTGATACCTATATCTGGGTGTCAACTCGGGTATAACGGGTAATCTTTGTATCCGGGTTACCCGCGGGTCACCCGACGAGTTAACCCGGGTTGTACTTTTTGAGACGGGTTGATTCACCAGGTTAGGCTTTTCTTCCATTAAAGACTTAAGATATTTTATATCATTCAGGTTTTATAGACGTGATTTTCTTTGAAATTGTTTAGCAATTGTTCGAATTGATAATCTTTCTAAATTTTTTCGACTATTTTTCAGCGAATATGCTACGAAAGTATCATAGTTAACCAGAGTTATATCGATATTGGTTATCTGATCATTATCGATTAATAATTGTTGCTGCACCATAAATAGAGGTCGTTGTAGTTTCACGAGAGTTTTTAATTTTTACAAATCAATTAACACTTACTGTACGTACGTACCTGACTTTAGACTATCTTCATAAATAGTAAATGTTGTATTGATCATGTCGAAATCAATAATTTATCGAATCGGCAGAATAATCATTTTTCATAAGGTGTCCCAAGAATAATGATAACAGCTGTAATTGTTAAATACAGATTTAACAATTAGATCCTGATATAGGTCTGATATCCGGATTTAAATATGCAGGCACATTTATTCACGAATTTGGTTTCAAATATACAGGGATAATACGTCTAAGTCTAGATATCGATACATGCATTTAATAGGTTTTACCCTGGAATCCCGACAGCCAAAATCCCGATATTACTAAAATCCTGAATTTTGGGTGTCAGGATTTTAGTAATACTGTAATACGTATACAGTTTTTAATGTGGTTACATAAAAATTATTAATAATAAACGAAATTATTGATTATTACTACATGTAACTATTAATAACTAATTATTTAATTAACTAAAAACTCGAAGGTCCCATCGCCAATTATCCATCAAATATGCGAAGGAACGTTTTTTTTTTATTAGTAAACAGAAAGCGATTTCAGAAATGATAAATGCGATTTCTTAATTTTTTTTTTCGACTAATAAGAGCAATGAATAATGCATTTGAGCCAGGACAACCGGTCGTTAAAAGTAAAAATAGCTAGCAAAATCAGCTAGTAAATTTTGAAAATAGCTGTAATCAAATTTTTTTCGAAGAGTATCATCTCGGTGAATACCGGTTATGTAAATTAGTTTAAGGGCAAAAGTAATAGTCACATGTTAGCACAAACAGCTATTTTGCTAAAAAAAAAAATGTTGCTATTTTAGCGTTAGATGCTACAAAAATCCGAGGGAACTAATTTAATGATAGTATATGGACATAATTTTGAATTGTACATATATCTGTATATTGGACTATACCCGAAAAATATATAGATTTATGTTAATTAAAATAAATCCGGATTACATTTCTGGTTAAAATGCTTATCTTAACGTTAATCCAGACTTTATCGAAAACTAAATTCTCCAAAGGTTATCATGTGTTCAGAATCGCGAACTAACAACTATATTGAACTTGCAGGTATAATGAATGATAATTGATATTTCAGTATTTACAGGGTTGGTACTTTGACTCCTCAATGACCATTACCTCCACTGCTTCTCTATAAAATTTAATAGGGAAATCTAAGTGTATATTCATCAACTCTATGATCAAGAAAGTTTATTGTTTGTTTTTTCGTAGATTGTCGTACAATAAAAGTGATCGTAATTTCGATTTCTTTTAACTACATAAAGTATTTAAAATTATTATTTATATGCGTGTCATTTAAATCTTAGATTTAACCTAGATAATCGAGATTTTTATATATGTTACACTTAAGTTTAATACAGTAAAGAATGCACATTTATGCACTTTTTATATTATTTGTTTTCCGGATAAATTAACATGGGAATTGATGAACAAGTAACCATGGAGAATTCTAACCACCATACCTCTGCTGACACTTGGACTCCTTCTACCTGGCGAACGAAAAAAATACGACAGAATGTTACTTACGAGGATCAAGAACATTTACAGAAAGTTGTTGAAAAATTAAACAATGTACCACCTTTGGTAACACCAACAGAGGTAAAGTCGATATTCATGAAATGAACTCGTTAACGATTTAATGTTAATTTCGAAAATACATATCTATCGATTTTTCGTGTTCTTTAAAGATTAACAAGCTTCGTCATCAACTCGAACAAGTCGCGCTCAATAAAGCTTTTCTATTGCAAGGGGGTGATTGCGCTGAACTTTTTGATTATTGTTCACAGGTAATTCCTTATTTTTCATCAACGAAAAAATATTTCGGCAATTTAAAAAAAAAAAAAAAAAATTTAGTCTACGACATTGATTGTATTTTAATAGTGTTAATTTATATATATTATATATTTAAACTTATATTAAATTGATAGGAAACAATCGAATCAAAACTCAAAGTACTTCTTCAAATGAGTTTAGTACTCATATGGGGTTCTAGAATTCCTGTAGTTCGAATTGCCAGAATGTGTGGTCAATTTGCGAAACCTCGATCAAATGAAATGGAAATGTATGAAGGAAAAGAAATTCATTCTTTCCGTGGTGACATTATTAATGGATATGAACCTACTGATAGAACACCCGATCCGGATCGTCTTTTAAAGTATTTTTTATTTTTTAATAATTTCTAATAAAATACATGTTTTACGTGATTTGAAATTAATCATAATGGGCTTTTAATAATTTCTAATAAAATATATGTTTACATAATTTGAAATTAATTATGATGGGCTTTTAGAGCCTATTTCCATTCTGCTGCAACGCTTAATTATGTTAGATCAATACTTGGATCAGGTTTTGCAGGTAATTATAATATATATTATATATATATATGTGGATTTAACAAAGAAATAATACGCCAAAAAATTAATTATCGTTATCTCGTGAATTATTAATCAGATTCACATGTGATTCTGAGATAACGATAATTAATTTTTGGACGTATTATTTTTTTTGGTCAAATTCGTCCCTTTTCTCAGCATCAAACCCATATCTAGAAATGATTTATTTTATATAAATAAATGAACTATTTCTGAATGCGAATTTATAGATCTACATAATCCTGATGAATGGTCGCTTCATCACGTTCGTTCCAAAGGAATGCGTCAAGAATACCAAACAATAGTTGACCGCCTTACAGATACTTTGGATTTCATGAAGACAATTGGAGCAGATGTGCCATTCTCTCCCATAACTAGTACATTAAGCACATTAAACAGCATTGATTTGTTCATGGCACATGAAGGATTAGTACTTGAATATGAACAGTGCATGACACGTTTGTTGAAAGATCCAGAAACTGGAAGTCCAAAGTGGTACAATGTTGGTGCTCATTTCTTATGGGTAGGTGATAGGACTAGACAACTTGATGAAGCCCATATTGAGTATTTTCGTGGAATTCGTAATCCTATTGGTGTTAAAGTGGGCCCCACCATGCAACCAGAAGAACTTAAAAAATTATTGAATATAGTGAATCCTGATAAAGAGACTGGAAAGGTGACATTAATTACGCGCTATGGATGTGATAATGTAATTATTTGTATTCTTTTTCATTTTGATTCCGTTATATCACTGCAAGGTGTGATGTAAATCTGGTGCGTGACATTGTCATCCACCATTGATGCCCTATTCCTTATCCCTTGCGCGACGCAAGTCTACGGCAGTGTTTATGAACAGTAGTCATTAGCTAAGTCACCAATCCTAATGCTAACGTTAATTCTAACTAATCATGTGAATTTGCAAACCACCCTAGCGTCACCAACTAAAAAAGAAATTTCAAATAAAATGAAACTAGTTACGACATAAGTCATAATAGTTTCGACACAAAAACGAAGTATATGTATAATCGGTGACGCTAGGGTCCATTGAATTTGCGCTGTCCCTAAGAACTGCCCGTTGTACGACA